TGTAAGGAACACAGGGCAGATATTATTTCGGGTTTATAAATTTTATTAAAGCATTAGTTGTTTCCATGTGGCCAAGTTGTTCAGTGGGAAGAGTTCTCAAATCAGAACTGCGGTTTCTTTATTGTTATAAATTCAAAGTTAAACCTCTATTCCATAGTGAAGGTGAGAGGAGAAACAAGACGCTCCAGTTTTCTTTTTGGTTTGATTTTGGTAAAGAAATCAATCAAAATATCCTTCCTTATTTTATTGTGCCATTTTTATGGTGAAGTTCTTGACAAGTAGCATACAATCTGTAGCAGGTGGTTCTACGCATCAATACATCAGGTGGTTTCTGAAAGTTACAAAGTTCTTAAAAATTCCTCAGGAAATTATACAGAAATTTACTGATATTAGAATAATGAAGGTGTATTTTTGAATACTTAAGTACTTTTAAAGGCATGTATTTTTAAAATATTTAAGTATTTTCTTAAGTGAGTACTTCAGCACTCTAACTTGAGTGGATGTTTGACCGAGTAACTTTTACTTGTAGTTGAGTAAGATTTGACTATCAATACTTACTTAAGAACTACTGTTGAGTACTTCGTCCACCACTGCCTTTGTGTAAAAAAGTGCTTACAACTATTGCTTGCATGGATCTAGCTTAAACTCTCTCTTGCTTTCTTTGTGGGGAAAATTAAGATTATTATTCTACTAAAAGCTGCAGGAAACTTGTGCTGAAGTAATCCTGCTTTTGGGAATATTAGCAGCTCAGTAGGTGGCTCTGTGGCTGCGGCACTGGTAGTGTTGTGCAACTGCAGAAAACGAGGAAAGACATACCTGCCTTGGAGCCTTATTTCACTATTCCGTATTTACAACAAATGCTGCACTTAAACTCTAGTGCAGTTTCAGCATTTGCACACAACCAGTGGTGAAGTATTTGCTCCTAATGTAGATTAATGCATCTTGTCTTGTTCTAGCTCACACAGGCGCAACGGCTCACAAAGGTAATTAAGATGAAGGATCTGGATTTAAAAAGCCTTTGTATGGGTTGGTGCTAAATTCCAAGATAAGGACCCAGTCTGTGTGGTTTACACAAGTGCATGAAGCAATTTGCTATGTGAATATTATTGTTCAAGGCTAACTAGCTGGTAAAACAATAGGCGTGATGTGTCACAGCTGTAAGTGCTGTTCTGAGGAGGTAAACTTCTCAGCACTAATGAATTCATTAATCTCTCTATTTATTCCTGACAAGCAATTATCTCCTCTCACTGAATTAGTATCAGGAAGCAAGGTTGAGAGCTTCCCCTACACACCACCAACCCACCCGCACACACACACACCCACCCCAAGAAAAATAAAATGGCAGTCAGCGACTAAAGTACTTAGAGCTATGTCCAAAATTATTTACACAGCTGGCAGATTTTGATTTGAAATAACTTTCATTAAACCACAGAAAGATGGCATGTCAAAAATTATCTACAACCTGTCTAATACTCAGTAGAAGGATGTTTATTGGTACAAGAACGATTAAACTGTAGTACTTTAGAAATGTGTCATTGATAGGCACAAAGCATTCAAAAGCACCCTTGTCAGTGAAATGCTGGTAAAATTAAGTTTACTGTAAACCCATATGTTCCATCTAAAAATTGCTGAGTGATAAAAACAATAGCATGTTAATGCCTAAATTACTATTTTGATACAATCAGAGTTTAGATTTTAAGCACATAAGCAACAGCCCAGGATCCAGGGACCACAAACCAACCAGAACCTTAGGGAACCAGTACACACAGTTAGGTACACCCAATCTCCTATCGATCAAGTCAAGTGAGGCCAGTTCTTCCCAACCACCACCTGGTTATATCCTCATCCCCAATCAACCAAGCCCCACATTAGTGCTGGAAAACCCAAAAGGTGCCACAAGAGCACAGGTGGTTTACCCTTGGAAACTAGACCTGATCTAAAACCAGACAATGTATTTTTTTACCCCGCAACAGCCATGAATAGCCTTAGCCTGACCAGCCAGACTGACTTACACAGGGCATAAAACAGTATGGTAAGGCTCAGAGTCTGGTTTAAAACAGACCAGGCTGCAGAGTGAGCTGCATATATCTAAATTTCAAAAACTGGATGTTGCAAAAACTTTTATCTCATAAATTGCCACCCTTGCACAACCTGTACACGGCGTCTATAGGTAGATTCAGGAACAAGACTTTCTCTAGCTTTTGAGATGCTCAATTCCCAAACCCCCGACACATGGTAGTGAGTGACTGTGCTGGAAATCCTAAATAAACCAGGTAGTGAGTAAAAACGCTTCAATAAGTGCTAAAAAAAAACCCGC